AGGGGGGGAATCGATTAAGTTACACAACTTCAGCTATGTGAATACATGTAGACTACATGCGATAAATCGACCCCCACTGGATCGATCACTGCTTGCCAATCCGGCGGTAGTGTAGACATACCCTTAGTCTCTGCATTATGTATGAAATGGAGAGTACAGTAAAGGAGCCAGGGTAGGCAAAGAGGAGAAGGCTATAACAACAATCAAGGCAGGAGATAGTGAGGGCTGGAATGAGAGTTTCAGTTGTGTGAACAGATATGGCCAGAAGAGCCATATAATTAGACCAGATGGACATAACAAAGACCTTAGAAGGAACAAATGGCAAGATTTGGACATCATGTAGATGTGCAGAGTGAGGGAGAAAAAAAAGAGTTGAAGATGAACCCCAGGTTATGGGCCCCAGTGACAGGGAAGATGGTGTTATGCTCACCTGCAACAGAGTATGGGGGAATGGATATGGTTTCAGAGGAAAGATCATGAGTTTATTTTTGGCCATGTTAAGTGTGAGTTGATGGCAAATACCTGGGAAGAGATATTAGAGATAGAGGATGAGGCACAGGGTTAGAGGGAGGGAGGCGGGGTGGGAATGGAAAAGTAAATTTGTACAGAAATGGGCAGTGGAAGCAGCGTGAAGTGATTAAATTACCCACAGTAAGGGAGAGGAGGCGGGGGGCTAGGACAGAACCTTGTGTTACCCATATGAATAGAGGGAGTGGGAGGAGCAGCTGAGAGGTCAAGAAGGATGAGGATGGAGTAGAGGGTCCGAAGATCTGGCCGAGAAATAATCAGTCATTAGAAACCTTGGCAAAAGCAGTTTCAGTGGAGTGGAGCAGACAGATGCCAGATTGGAGTAGCCCAGAAGGAGAGGAAATAGAAATGGGAATAAAGGAGGTGGGCCAGTAGCTGGAGTCAAGAGTCAGTTCTTTTTGGAGGATGGAAAAAGCAGAGCATACTTGTAATCTGAGGGAGACAGAGAAGAGAAGGGACTGAAGGTGATAAACATGCTACAAAAACCTATGTAGAGCAGAGCAGAGAGAGGTCAGCATCCCCAAGAAATCCCTTCTGGCCAACCCAGGTACACCTGCATATGGCAACGGGGGGGCAAAGTCCAGTTAACAAAGGTTCCTTTGGAATTGGGGGAAGGGTTGGAAAGGAAGACCGTAGGACAGGATGCCAACTGAGCATTCAATGCAAAGACACATTAAAATTACCCACTGAAGTACTGTACTGAGAGAATGGCATTTCCCAAGAATGTGGAGAATAATAAAATACAAAGGAAAAGCTTGCTTTAATTTCTTCTAGTTTTCTTCAGTTTTTCTTGGGTGAAAGATTTTGGTAGGCGGATGCAGCAATTCTGTGCGCTATTGAGCAAAAATGTCATCATCAAGAACAGTATGAGGAAATACCCATTCTGTATTCTGCAAGTGTTACCCCTCCCCACCCCACCCCCCAAAAAACCTAGGGTTGCAATCTTCTATTGAGAAATGAAAATGTCTAAAAACTGTGCCGATAGGACTGTGTGACAAAGAAAACTAGGTTAAGAACTTCAAACATTTTGGAATAAATTATTCTTCCAATGTGCATTTCCTATTACTGTATAAAGAGAGTTTTGAGCATGCACTATGTGAAAAACAGATTCCCCTTTAGTTATATGTAATCCTAATTACAATTTAAAGCTAATTTCTTATTTAACAAAACAAATATCAGAACTAACAAAATGTTTTTTTATAATGTCAAAATAACAGGCAGCAAATAAATTCACAGTAGTAAACCAGGGGTAAACTGCAAGGATGGTGCTACATAAATATGCATTACAGTAAGGTAAAGGGTACTCACTGAATCCTCATCTTGAATCATCTGTACTAAATTATCCAGTACAGGAGTAAGATTTCTGCAGGGCAAAAAGTGATGGAGACAATTAAATCAGCAGCTTTTTGCTATCAATTTTGCTAGTATTTAAAAAAAAAAAAAATCTTACTTGGATTTCATGTTGTTAAAATTTTTGCCCAACGCCAAGTGTCTTATTGATCGATTTTTACTAAGCCAGATTACAAGTGTTGAGAGATCAGATTCTAGGCCTGTGAGGAATCAGATTAAATGCAGAATTAAAAACACACTCCTTTTGCTAGATGGGGTTCACCTGAGTGACTTTACACCAACACACCAATTTAAATGACTCTGGAACACTTACTTTAAATTCTTTTATTTTTAAATCTTTTGGTCTCCTTTCATTTTCCATTGTTCCACAAGGCAACCCTATTGTTTGTGATCAAACCATTGAAAAGCTCTCTGCTAATCAGCAACTGCATACACAGCAGAAAGAGAGGACGAGGATTTAATCCCTAAACCTCAGTCCACCAGAGAAGACAAGAACAAACATTCTTCTCTTTGTTAAGCAATGGAGGTCTTTTCTGTTCTTTGGCTTTGAGAATTAGAGGAACATGCTACTTTGCTAGCCTCAACAGTTATATGTACCAATGTGCTCTTGCAGCCTCCAGACACAAAGAGGCTAATGTAAGAAGCTTGTGAATAAACCAACCTGCTAAAACAGGCTGCATTTCATTCTGTTCTTGGGTGAGAAAATGAATATGCTGCAGCCTGCCTACCATACTGATAAAGGTAATGGTTCAGCTGATGAAACTTACTAGGCACTGGATAACTTTCAGATTCAGCTATCATAAGCTTAAACAAAGCAAGGACTCATTTTGCTTGATGCCATTCTTAATAAAATCTGTTACAATATTGAAAAAAACCACACAAAGCCCTACGGCACATAAACATTATTACATCATGGGATAAAATGTTTTAAATCACCTTTCTTAATCAGCTTCAGGGAATGCATTACCTTTCACCCCTTTTACATGTACTTACCATTGTCTGAAATGTCTAGGCTGGTGATATTGTGTATTTCTGCTATGCACCCTTCCAGAACTTGTGCACCTCCAGATCTCAACTAGAGACAGACAAAACATCTGCAACTAATTAAGGTATTTTGATAACACAGAAAATAGCAACAGGAGCTTTGTAAATATAAATGGTACCACATAGAGCAAAAATAGCAGCAACATTATAACTTGTTGACATTAATGCTACAGCCTACACAGAAATCATCTGTACACTAATCTCTCATGATATGCATATAATAAAAGAGTAAAAATATTGGACAGAAGTTTAACCAGGGATGGGTTTTAATGGTATTGACAAACCCCCTTTCATCCTTCAAGCTGGCAGAAACTTCGAGGTTTTGCTCCTTGCCTTATTGTAAAAATGTTTGAGTGCTTTTAAGTTCCTATTGGGAAGAATGGATATCAATCAACGTCAAAGCCAAAGATATTATGCATTCCTTTCCATCCTTGAATTCCAGAGACAGTCTTAGGCTTGGTCTACACTAAACCCCCAAATCGAACTAAGGTACGCAACTTCAGCTACGTGAATAACGTAGCTGAAGTTCGAAGTACCTTAGTTCGAACTTACCTCGGTCCACACGCGGCAGGCAGGCTCCCCCGTTGACTCCGCGGTACTCCTCTCGTCTAGCTGGAGTACCGCAGTCGACGGCGAGCACTTCCTGGTTCAACTTATCGCGTCCAGACAAGACGCGATAAGTTGAACCCAGAACTTCGATTGCCAGCCGCCGAATTAGTGGCTGGGTTAGACATACCCTTACAGTAAGAGCCTTCTGCTACCTCTAAGCACCAAAGCAAGGTGCTCTGTTCAGCAGAGAGAAGGGAGTTGGTGATAAGGAGCAACAAGTCAAGGATCAACAGGGGGTTGGGTCTTTTTGACCAATCATGACTTTTAAAAAAAACTTTATAACAGTTATAATAGTTAATAAAATCATAACAGCTAGGATTAGAAGATTAGCTTTTCCTTATTTCAAAATGGGCATGAGGAAAAACATTAAGACAGAAAGGATTACTTGTGTGGTTTAGAGTACTGCATTATTAATCTGAATTATTGCAGCATATTAAAATACAGTTTCAAGATTCAGTGAAATGTCTGAAAAGGCTTCAAAGGGAAGTACAATATCAGGGATACAAATTATTAAAACCACAGACTTTAGAAGGTTATTAACTCTTGACCATTTCTATGAATTGCATACTCAAGTAGTAAAGTAATGTTTTCAGGGAAGGAAAAACATTTTCATATTTCTTGTTAACGCAACACAATCACATCTTCCCTACATAAACATCACCCAGAGTAGGACCACTAAAAAAAAAGGACAGCAATGATACATTTTATATTTGCAAAACATTTTCCACTCCAAACTATTTTCTGGTTTTCATGAAACCAAAAGACAGGATTTATAAGCATAAAGCTGCCATTTCACCCATCGGAGGGGCGGGGGGAGGAGTAGAAACCAGTGTCACTGTTATGTTGCTATACATAAAAAAGGGACAACATTTCACCTCATTTGTAGATTTGACCAAATATCCTGAATCAAGTCGGCAGATTTTTGTGAATATTCTCTAAGCAAAAATGGTCCTTTAACCCAGCTCTAATCCAGATTCACTAATATTTTGCAGCAATATTTTTCAGTTCTAGCAATTTTTAAGAAAGGTTGTAGACTTCTCGTCGGTGGACAAAGAACTTAGTGCCCCAATTTGGACTTTTATTACAGTGATTGGCCCAAGCTGAAATATTAAATATAAAATATTCCTAACCAAGAAGGATATTTTGTACCCAGCCCCTCTTTTTTCAATGGACTGAAAGAAAACCCCGGACCCAAACCCTCTTGGAACTGGTAGAGTTAAAAATCTAAATCTGGATCAAAATTTGTGCAGCTTTACTCCATCTCTAATTTACTAATAGCATTTGTAACACTTGCAGTATGCGTGCCAGAATCATTCCACTTCACTTTGGAATTTGCTCAGTGACTCACACACTACTAGACAACCCTTTTACACAAGCTGCCACGTTAATTATTGTTAAGCCAGTGGAACTGACAGATTATATTGACTCAGCCTTTATTTAATTTGTCTTTTTAAAAATATGGACATTTTAGTGGCATATTATAAATTTGGCTTTGCTCGGACTTGAACTCGTGTTAAATAAAAAAGATAAAGAAATGTTTGTTAAAGTTATACTTTAACAAACACTTTTTATTAGCTACATTTCAACAGACTGTCTGTACTCATAGAATTCCTTTTTGGATTCGAAAAGCCTTATAAGAATCTCAAAAGAGATTCTGTATCGATCAATAGTATGTTACAATTTCTCTGCACCAAAATTACATCCAAAATAGGGCTTAAATGCTAATTCTGTGCATGCTTTAAATACACACAGGAACAATTTTTCAAGGGCAGCTTTTAAGTTTGCATCCACAATTTTATACACCTCTACCCCAATATAATGTGACCAGATATAACACGAATTCGGATATAACGCGGTAAAGCAGCACTCCAGGGGGGCGGGGCTGCGCACTCCAACAGATCAAAGCAAGTTCGATATAATGCGGTTTCACCTATAACGGGATAAGATTTTCTGGCTCCCGAGGACAGCGTTATATTAGGGTAGAGGTGTATTTGCAATCTTTAGGGGACTCAAATATGAGAATATTGATGTCTACTTAATGTAAGTATAAAGAAACATTTGATCCCAAAAGTCACAGAGAGTCAAAATTATATTATTTGCTCCCACAAAAGACAGGTGTACAAAAATAGAGATTAGGGTTACAGTCCGATGTAAACTTGACCCATGACAGGATATAAAAACCCACATCCTGTGTCCATACTTCTGAGATCACAAATACCAGTACATCACATATTAAGAACCAGCTCTTCAGCAATAAAAAGCAGAAAGCACAGCAGAAGCTATAATGTACCAGTATGCGGGGAGTGAAAACAAAGCTGCTTACTGATTCAATGGTTAATATGCTGAAGGTAAGGCATGGAGGGTACTTACACAGTGACCAAGCTAAGGGAAGCAGAAGGGAAAAGAGTGAAATATATCAGTGCTGAGCAGGTAAAAATAAAACTGCAGTTTTCATAATAAAATTAGCAATATAAAACAATCAAGCTCTGGATTGGAGTTAGTACACCAGAAATTTGATGTGCAGGCAAATAAAGAGAGAAAAAAGAGGAAAGGAGAAATTTATCTTTCCATGCAGAATTAAGGCCCCCGGCCCTGCAGCCTGGATACAACTTTGCAAGAGCAGGGAGAAGGAAGGACAAAAGTGGAAGCATCAGGGCTTCCTGCCTCTTCTTGCTACACCCTCACGGGAGCTGGAGTTGGGAGAGGGGAGGAAAACTGGCTCACAGGCTTTATTGCGGGGCAAAGGCTGCGCTGATTTCATCCAGAGCGAATCAGTGGTCTAAACCAGGCCAGGGTGAGCCAGTCCCAGCTCCTGTCATGGTGCTTCCTACCCTACATTATGGATGAGATTGTTGCAAGCATAACTTTTTTTTTTTAAAAAGCACAAGAGGATGGATGAGGTTTAGTCATAGGGAGACAAGCCAGGGCAAGGGAGTATGGAGAAATGTCAGTTGACGGACTGGCTCAATTTTCTCTTTTACAGCTGTTTTAAGTTCAGTTTGTCTTGTGGGAGGTAATCCTTCAACTAAGCCAAGCAGGAAGCCTATTTAAGTCACCAAAAGGCAGAAGAGAACATCTTCTCCTGACTGTGGCATTACTCCTGGTATATTCTTCCTCCAATGTGGCAGGAACCATAGCACCAGTACAGGCTTGGGCAGTTTAATTAAGACAGACATGGGTGAGAAAGGGGCCGGCCTCTCTGCACAAGATGTGGAAGAGGGCTCAAAAGGTGATAGGTATATGCCATGATCAGACTTGGCTCAGTGTCTAACATAGCATGGCCCCCAACTGAGGGGCTTCCCTCGACCCCCAGGACCTGGTGGTTGAGCTTTCTTCTCTACTGACTGCAGAAATTGCCTAATTCAATAAATTGTCCCCATTAATGCCAGTCCTTAAAGCCATGTCTGAATCTTCCTTCCTGTGAACTCCAGGCAATTATGTATGTAATTTACAATCACGAAAGTCAACTGCTCTTACCAAAAAAAAACAAAAAAACCAACACCCCAGGACTCCATATTTTAAAAAAATGGACTTAGAAACTACATCTCCCTCCCTCTTCCTGACTTGAAAGCTATCTTATTTGCAATTTACACACTACTGCTCTTTAAAAGAAAATGGTTTCAAAAGAACACAATAGATTGAAACAAAGTACTAAATGCATTCAAAAATAGGTTGAGTTTCCCTCATCAGGAAAGCTCCTAATGTTATTCCCACTCTTTACTGTGTGATCAAAGGGGACACAACAACATAAGACAAGGATTTCTGCACTTCAATTATGTTCATCAAGTCGAGCTCTCTCCTATGTAGAGGGGAAGATATAACAGGCCCAGAAATTAAGCATTGTCAAAAATACTTTTTTATTTAAATCTTGAAAAAAAAATCCACCAGTTCTCACCAAATGAGAGCTGCCAACTTTTCTTTTAGGAGACCCCCCAAAACCAGACTCTGGGTTATCTGATTATTGGATGTGCAGCTAGCGAGCTGAACCTCTGCTCTGTCAGTGTGCTTCACTCTCGAGAAGCACTTCAGAGAGCAGGGTTTTTGTTCATTTCAGTGCTCTGACTGCTCACAAAAAATCAATCAGACAGATGGGGACGATGCAACGTGAATAGGCATGTCATGTGAAAACACACACAAACCGAAACAGCTCATGAGGTCTCATTTTCAAGTCAACTAGCCTCAACTTTTCCTATCCTCTTTTCTCAACAAATCTCCACGAATTAATTCCCTTTCTTCATACTGTCTGCCAAGCATAGGCATAGTTTGACTTCTATACTTGGGGGGGCAGCTCCAGTCAGCCCAACAGGACTACATATCAGGGGTGAGGGGTGGGGGGTGGGGGACAAATTCCATGCCTGCCCGAGGCTTGCAGTTTGGGAAGGCAATGTCCCCTGTACCTCTCCCAAACTACACCCATGCTACCAAGACATTATGCATCTGGTCCAGAGATGCAGATATACACCTTAGTTTGAAATTGACACAAACAGCACTCCATACGTATCACTATGGATGCCCCTCCGCTAGGACATTCAAGTCACCTTTACAAAAAACTGTGGGTCCTTTCCTCTGGGGTTTTCACTGCTAAGCTTAGGAGGATCAAAGTTCAAACTACTCTTTTGTTCTCATATTTGTTTGCAAAGCCCACACAGTTGTGAGTGAGTGACTCTCCTCCTTTCCCCAACTTCTTCAGTGATCTTTTACCCTATGCAGCACTCATGGGAACCATTCAGTGAATGCAACTGGGTCTTGATCCTGAGCCATGCGAAGTAGTTCTATGAGATAGAGTGCTCAGCACACAGCACGCTCCAGCCTGCAGAAAGGGCAGAGAACTGAAGCAAAGTAGTAAACTCTAGCTTCAAACTTCCAATGGATTATTATAAACAAGGGTGCTTTTTATTTATTTATTTATTGTGGAAAAATTCAAAGAACATTTGGACCATGCCTCTTAAAGTGAAAGAGACGTTTAAATAATCTCTTATCAGAGGTTCCAATTGGGACTAGAAAACCAGAGTTTTTTGAGAGTGAATTTGGGAGGGGGCGCAAGTCTCAAAGAGAAATTGGGAAGAAGAGAGTCAGACTGTAGAAAGAGCTTCAAGATATGCAGCTTGCTCCCACCCATTCAGCTCAGGCTGCCTGTGGTTTAGAAAAGCCCACCTCACATTACAATACATTACAACTCCATTTTAGAGAGGCTGCCATGCCTCTAACAATGCAGTGCTCTGCGTCGTCTAGAAAAATCTTTGCAACGAGCATTACCAGACAAGCCCACTATCGGTTACTACTAATAGTTTTACTCCTATTTAGTTGGCATAATATATAGAGAGCAGCTCATTTTTATAAAAAGAATGGATCCTTTCTATATCTTTTAACTACAAAAGAGGAGCAAATGGTTCCATTTATCTGAGGAAAAGAGTAATTCTAAGTAATTGCCGCTTTCCAACATGTTCTGATACATTATTCTTACCTCACAGCTACTGAGATCTAAAGACACCTCTTTCAGGTTCGGATTACAAGCCAGGCCTAATAAGAGTGCTCTGAAAAAGATCAAGATTAGAAGCATTATAAAACCCCAAATTCACAACAAAACCCAAGCAGTAACAGCTCCAATAATTCAAAGAGCCATATCAAAACAAAACACAGCAATTATGTTACTCTTAAATGGCAAAGACAGTGTAACTCATTACATTACCATTAGAGCCCTGAAGTGAATTCAGAAGGGATGTAATGCAAATAAATACACAGTAAAACAGATCGTGTTCATCACAGACAAATTTCCTGCCTTTTCATTAGAAGAACATTAATGATTACAACATGGGAGAGCTATCAGGGCCATACAGTGCAAACTATTTCCCCAAAACTTGCAGGAAAAATATTGTTTTTTGTTTTGTTTTGTTTTTTTTAAGTGTATGGTGCACTGGAATCATGCTGCGATTAACCTTAGAGCAGACAAACAGTATTTTCCCTTTGAACATAGTATTTAGTTTTTAAAGTTAAATGTCAATTACTTGAAAATCTACATTTTCACTTGGCAAAGGTACACTGCATTATACAGTCTTACTTTCATCACATAAACATAGCCATCATCACAGCATGCCAGTCATTGCCTGGGGAGTCCTCACTCACCGTAGCGCATGATGCCATTGTCAATTCACAACATGGCACAGACCAGATGACGTCACAGCCTAAAGGCAGGTGAATGAAATGACCTTCAGCTTACTCACATACATGCCACTAATGCTGCAACTCCTTTTCACAGTTTGAACAAGCAACTGCTAGTCAGTGGTTTCTACATAAAACTTCACCCATTCTGTTCCCCCTGAAGTATGGCATTTCAAAGAAGTGTCAACATATAGACAATTCTCAGTTTATCCATGCTGAGAATTTCAAAGCGCTATTCCAAACAACATGGGTACAACATTACCTTTAAATTGCATGATACGTAGAAGCAGGACTCCAAATTGGAGGGAGAGGGGGAAGTTATAGAATTGAAATCCTCCAGGGTGGTCTCAAATCCATCCTTAATATATAGCTCCACTGTTATCAACAGAATTTCACCAGGGATGAAATTGGCCCATGTAGCTAAATGCTATTGTTTGTATTGGGACCTTAGTACTAGCAAGTATGTAAGTATGTGTGCTTCTGAGAGCACCTCAGACAACTACTAGTGGCTTTGTATGGAGGAGGCTGATGTTAATCAGTTATTCAACAGAAAGATAGAATAACTTTTTTTGCCTGCCCTTCATTTCAGTCAGGGTCAAGCTAACAGAATCTGAAGAATCATTGAGAGACAAAACAATCCTGTTCTGCTGAGCCACGTGCCTCAAAGAGACCAAGTGCACTGCAGACAATGTGTAAAGCCTGGCGTGCTGAGTACGAAAGCATCAGCGAATCAAAATTTTCATACCGGAGCCCAGACAATCCTTTATATCTGCCCCTCGATCTGAGCGGTAGATTCAGTCCTTTTCTATTGATTAATTCATTTATTTTCATTTTAACAGCCGAGAAAGTAACTTTGAAATATTGCTGCTCAGCGACAGCTTCCTAAAGCTTCCGTTTTCTGTCCAAGCTCCCGCTCCATAAAAACCTCTCTGAAACACGCAGTTACGTGATCGCGTGAAGGTCTGACTGAGAAACTTCCTAAATATTTTTAGATCACATACCATTAAAGTGCAGGTCTACTTTAAAAAGCTATGTAGACATGGCACACTGCCAGCGCTGTAAACACCCCCCTAAGATCTTAGAATCAGCGTCAATTCTTTTCTTCTCATAAATTATGAGCAGTAATAAAAGACACTGCAGGCCAAATGTTGCCCTCATTACAGCTGTGCAACCCCACTGTGTTCTAATTATGCCCTCAGTAACACCTGTGCAACCACTCTCTTCAACGGAAATGCACAGGCAAAACTGAATGGCGCACTGGAAAACTGCCAGAGTTCATGTTCCAGGATCTTCAGCTCCGCAGCAGAGCGCCCGCCCGCCCCCCGAGTTCTGGCTGGAGCAGGAGTTCTCCAAGCTGCTCGACTCCCAGCTCCATGGCAGTGCTGCCAGGATTTCTGCTGCAGAGTGGGGAGCCTAGAATTTGGAAAGCCCAGGCTCCATCTTGAGCTCCAGGGCACATCAGGGCTGCCAGGCACTCTGCTGTGGAGCTGGGAGCATGGAAGTCCTGGCACAGGCTACAGATCCAGGGCAGTCCAGTTTGCCCAGTAGCCGGGAAGACCGTAGCAGGGCTGCCCGAAGCTGCAGACCCTGGGAGTCCAGGCAGTTGCTGAGACCATTGCTATTTAGCAGCAGTGAAACCGTCAAGCTGGTCAATTTCACATATTGCCTTTTGGGATCACCATGTTTCAATGTTTCTGAAACTAAATTTTTAGAGGGGTGTGGGGGGCAGGTTTCCTTGCTTATGGTAAGTTTAATTAACATTTGGTTTCATTCCGATTATAAACTAAAGCAAATTCTGACATACAGAAACTTCAAGCAAACTGAGAACCCTGGATGAAACGGTTACATCCAGCTCTAGTAAACATATGTTCAGTCACTAAAGCGGGCAGATATAACTGAATATGTACAAGCAGCAGATCTATTGCTTAATGTGGCACCATTTTCACAGCAACTTTTCAGAGAATGTCGTCTAGCAGTACAACAGAGGACTGGAGTCAGGACTTTAAGGCTCTATTTCAAGTTCTTCCACTGGCTTGCTGTTTAACCTTGGGCAAGTCACTTAACTTCTGTGCGCCTTAGTTTCACATTGTAAAAAGGGAATTTTTCCCTCCTTCTCAGAGCTGTTGCAAGGTCTATGTTTGCAAAGCGATTAGATATACACAGATGAAAGATGATAAAGAAATATTATTGGTATTGTATACCATGTTACTTCTCAAATTCCCTTGATTTACCTTCATTTCCAATTTACGTAAGTAAGTTATCTTTTAGAGACTTCTGTAATAATTAAAGCCCAGTACGTCTGAAAACAGCAGTTTCAGACTTAATCTTATAGCCTCTTCATGATTTAAACCAGAATTTTAGGGCTTGTTGACATGGTGGGGTGATGTGCCCTATGGAGGTATAATTCTAAAGCAGTGGTGGGCAAACTATGGCCGTGGGCCAGATCTGGCCCATCAGGGCTTTGGATCTGGCCTACGGGATTGCCACCCCCATGGCGCTGCAGGTCCCGTGCCGCTCCTGGAAGCGGTCGGCACCATGTCCCTGCAGCCCTGGGGTGGGGGGGCGCAGAAGGCTCCACACGCTGCCCTCGCCTTCAGGCACTGTCCCCCACAGCTCCAATTGGTCGGGAACGGGAAATCGTGGCCAATGGATGCTTCGGGGGAGGTACCTGCAGGCGAGGGCAGTGCACGGAGTCCTCTGCCCCCCACCCCCACGAGCCGCAGGGACGTGGTGACGGCCGCTTCCGGGAGCGGCGCGGCACGGAGCCTGCCTTACACTTGCTGCACACCACTGACACCCCGGAGCCGCTCCAGGTAAGCAGCCCCAGGCTGGAGCCCACACCCCGAGCCCCTCCTGCACCCCACACCCTAACCCACTGCCCTGAGCCCCCGCCGCACCCCACACCCCTCCTGCGCCCCAACCCCTTGCCCTGAGCCCCTTCCTGCACACCACACCCCCTCCCACACCCCGCACTGCAATCCCCTGCCTCAGCCCTCCATTCATGGCCCTGCATGCAATTTCCCCACCCAGATGTGGCCCTCGGGCCAAAAAGTTTGCCCACCCCTGTTCTAAAGAGCACTAATGTGTTGTGCATTAACTGTTCTGCACAAACACTGTTGGTTTGCACTATGTTAAAGCGCACTGGGGAACATTTAGTGCACACCAGCAAGGTCTACATGGACCAATTAATGCACAACACATTTGTGCACTTAAGAACTCAGAGCTCTGTAGTGCTCATTACCCCACAGTAGACAAGCCCTTAATTTTATGTAAGATTTTAAAAAAAAATCATATTTCAGACAAAAATGCTAACAATCACACTGAAAACATATTGAGTTCCAAGTACCATCATGGCTGAAACACTTCAGCTCACACAGAGAAAACCGTAAACTAAAGAAACAACACGATAATGAAACAGCCAAACAATTTTATTGCTTTAAATAAAACAGAAAGGGGGTTGCAATAAATAGTACCATACTGCTGAAAGTAGATAATTCAATACCATGTGGTGTATTGTGAAAAGGGTTTTTTGAGAGCATCTTTAACAAATTAGGTTCCAATTCTGCAAACACTTAGGAACATGGTTAACTTTAAGCCTGTGAGTTGTCACATCCAAAGGTTAAATTTGCAGAATTGGGGCCTTTGGTCTTTTTTACTCTATAGGGACATTAAAAGGTCTCATGGCATTTTTCATAACAACAACATTTGCTCCGTGCTGATGGCTACACATCCACCATACAGTGAGCATCCCCATGGGTTAACTATAACCAATATGTTTTTCACCACCATGCCTTTGCCTACACTAGGTGGTAAGTAGTGTTCAAGAACACTAATTAATACAACATTTTCCCAGTCTAGGCAAAGCCTAAGACAGGATATAACAAAGGAGAACATAATAGAGGGAATGGAAAGAACGGAAGATAATGGTTACACAGTTCCTCAGGCCGGTTCATTAACCACGTCTTATTTATTTATCTCATCTACTCTTCCCTCCCCTGTATCAATTTGTATCTAAAAAACAAACTATGTTATTCTTTAGCTTATGGTATTTGCTGTGATTCCCCCCCCCCCATCCTTTCCACTTTTCTTTCTCTCCTGTGTTGATTCCATCCCAGATTTTTCCTCCAACCCTAACCCATTCACTCCAAACCCTCTCCCTCCACCTCACTGATTTAGCCTTTAAGCTATATTAAATTCCAGTCCATTAACTAACCACCTATTAAGTTACTGCCTGCTTCCCACATCTCCCTCCACAATAGACCACGCAGGTCAACTCACGGTCTCTGATTACACTGGGATTTAGAAAATGTTAGCTAATACACACATTCAAGAAGTCTAGTGTAGACAGAGCACTGTGTGGCAATATTAGCTAGACAAGTAGAAACCTAGGGGAGAGCCTAGGCTTTGTAACAGGGTTGGCTGATACCTGAGCACCCACTCTTTATTGCGGTCTCCTGCTGCTCTTTATAGGGCAATCATTTTTGATCTCCCAGGTGTGGTTCATCCTGTACTTAGGGTTGGCCAGCCCTCCAGCCCTTAAAGGAAGAGCCACCCTGTTACATGCCTCCCCCCGCTTAGAACCTTGCCCACCCCGGGGAAAGTTTTACCTGCAGCAATACTTTCCCCCCAACCATCCAATTCCACTGTTGCCGACAACATGATTGTGGGGCCTGACAGCTCAGATTCTCTAGCATAATGAGCGGGCGATCTCTTTCCTCTAGAGTCATCTGATGCTCCTCTGCTAACTGCTCCCTTCCTTGTAGGGCCTGCCACTTCTCCTTCAAGGCAACAAGTTCCTTCCGATCCTTCTCCATCGGAGAAGCTTCTCTTCCCAGTGCTGTATTGCCCTCTTGGCAGCTCTAAGAGGGGCTACCATGACTGCAATGTCCACTTTCACCGCAGCCTCCGTGTTCGTCCGCTTCTCCCAAACACTAATACAACCCTGCCGTTCTCGGGCATCCTCCCACTTTGATCACATTCCCAGCAGTCAACTCTGGCTTTAAGTCCCCCTCTCCTCAATCACAGTTCACCGTCCCAACTGGTTTCTCTCACTTCAGGCAGACAGGACTGACACGCTTCTGGGAACACACAGACTGTTCCACCCTTCGACTCTCCCTCACTCTTCCTTGTCTGCAGGGCTTTTCCCTTCCCACAGACCACATTATTCAAGGGGAAGACCTTCTTAATGTGCTCTACCTTGCCACATCTAAAACACTGGGATGGAGCCTTACTCTGTGTTCCTGCCCTCTCATGCTTGTTTTTTCTTATGCCTCTCCCGGCAGTACCAGTACTCAAATCTGTTGAGCCATGGTCTTCCACACCGGAAGCACACAAAGACATTCCTCCTTCGCAGGTGGCGGTGGTCTCTCTGCAACACCTTTGGGCCCCAAACCCAACCATCTATTCTTCCTGCTGCAAGGCCGACGGTGCCTTCTGCTGTCGCTGCCACTACTGCTGCTCCTGCAGAAGAACTACACGGGTCCACTGTGCTGTTCAGCCAGCAGACAAATGGCTTCCTCCAGTTTCTGCATCTACTTTCCCCCAGGCCTCCTGCTTCTCTCTTTGAGAGGAGGGGGTCCCCGCAGCAGGCTATGCCAGAGGTCACAGGGTTGGCTGACTCCTGAGCACTCTTCATTGCAGCCTCCTGCTGTTCTTCATATGGCAATCACCCTGATCTTTCCCAGGTGTGGCTCATTCTGTGATCAGGGCTGGCTAGCCCCCAACCAGTAAGGGTCAAGCCAGGCTGTTACATTCCAACTCTGCCAGTTCAGCAGGGGGGATCATTATGAAACTCACTTTCTCAGTGACGAACTGTAAATGGCGCTCTGAATAATGTGCAGAAAAGATCTGCTTTCCTCTCCATTTTCAGGATTAGACATGTATATAAATAACCACGCAAACTGTGTCTTTAAGTCACAGGAAAAATCAATGCAGCACTTACTTTAGAGGCTCAGGAGAGAGTTTAGTCCCCGAAAAACTGATTTGCATCAAAGCAAGTGAACTGCTAAAAAACTGTTTGAAAGACGGGGGAACTTCTTTTCCTTTCCTGTAAATTGGGGGGAGGGGGGAGCAGGGAGAGAAAAAGCAACATTTGAACATCCAACAGATTGCCAATTCATGATGTCAGGGTCAGCAGCACTCTTTTTTTTTTAGTAATTAATGTACTTCATCTTTAATAATCATATCTAGGTAGCTTTCAATTAGCTCAAAAACAAAAAGCCGTCAAAATGGAGACAACAGCATTCATCAATGTCTCATTTCTTATTCAGAAGGTATTACCAAGTAATGGCTCCTTGGTGACCTACATAAAATAATCAGGTGACTTCAGCCCAGTTACTAGTCGACTGGCATTCACACCACCAGGAGAGAAGCAAAGGGTCAAAATTGTTATGAGAAGGAAATCACTTTTCACCCCTAGAGATAGTTATTGTTTAACGTTTGAATGTAGTACCAAGCAATAGGTGTGCAGAAGTGATGCCTCCAGGTTAGAGTTGAGGCATATTGATCTGGAAAGACAGGGCAGCTTACACTGCTATTTCCTGGGATATAACTGCTCTCCAGAGAGAGGATTCTGCCTCCAATGCTGTCAGTCAATATCCCCAAAAGGACTACGCTCAATAAAAAAAAGGAAAGGGGAGGGGGGGAGAATAGTCACCACTGACTTCCAATAATAATAAAAAAATACTATCTATATAATGTGAAAATTGGGTTTCAAGAGAAGCAAATGTACTCAGGCCATTCTGGTATTGATTCCTATTGTTTTTATGCTCCAATTTCAGTATTCAGTGGGCACCATTGCAGACTGAATATCTAAAGGGTAGAATATCTGCCACTCTTTTTAATAAATAGCAAAACAACACCATGGCAGAGTCTGAATCCCCCCAAATAAAAATAAAAGCAATGCTTCATAAGAAGCTCTCAAAAGGCTTCATAAGAGTAACTTTCACAAGTCTGTAAAGTGGGCCTGTATTCTTTTTACAGAGGGAAGACAGGCCTGGAGAGGCCAATTGACTCTCTCAGAGTCAAAGAGCTGGTCGGGGCAGAACTGAGTACAGAACACAACAAACCTCAATTCTCTTCTTCTAATCAGTGTTTTCTTCCTTACTAAACTATGCTTTCAGCTGGATTAGGGCCTCGTATTATGTCCATTAAAGTCAATAGAAGTTTTTCAGTTTATTTCAGTGAATGATAGATCAGGCCCCCAAAATTGAGATGGTCAGAAAGATACAGAGGAAATATTTTTTTCATCCAAATTGGTCAACACATTGAAACAAACATTTCATAGAGACTGTTCAATTTCGGCAGGCTTCCACTGGAATTCTGCCTAGTTTTCTGCCAGCCGCCTGGTGGGCTGATAAGGAACCAAGCCCGCCTGGACACTCTAGGAGCCTCAGCTGTTCAGCAGCCTAGGCTCCCAGGGTCCCCCACGCTGGGGCAGCCTGCAAGATGGACTGCCTTGGAAACAGGGACCCCAGCACTTCCAGGATCCCTGCCTCCATTCCCTTTCACAGAGAATTTTCAACTTTTTGGTTTTAGTTTTGCATTGGAACAAAACCAGATTTAGAAATATTGAAATCCTCTGTTAAACGAAATTATCTTTTTATGCCTAGCTCTACCCTAAAAGAAAGGGCTATTCTGCATCTGGGGAGGGGGGAAGAAGGGAGAGAGAGAGAGAGAAAAAAAAAAGCAGCTAAGAATGCACTGAAAATTAAATGTTTAATTTTTTAGCTAACACTGATTTTCAGTGCAGTTCTGGAATATTGTGCCTATAAGCAGATAAGTCAATTCCTTTGGTACAGTACTAATGCTTTTTGAGAACAGGAACTTTGTGTTCCTCGGTGTTTGGAAAGAGCCTAGAACAGGATGGTAACAATAGTAATGCAGGTAGACACCTACACTTAGAATTGCACAAGAATTTCAATTCAAAGGGTCATTTTCAGACAATTACAGGTGACAAAGTTTTATCTTTAGGATAAAATTTTGCATATTTGGGCTCAGCTTTCAGGAGCGGTTTTGGATTTTGTTCTGTTGTTAGTTTGAGGGGAAACTTCTGCCATTTCGGGGGGCGGAGGGGGGTTTAAAGCAATATGCTTTGGCTATTAAATTTTTACCTTGAGCAAGTGCCCAGGGTTTTTGTTTCATGATAAACTTATAGTCTGCCAACATTTCACTGGCACTGTGTGTATGTGCAAGTGTAACCTGAGTGGAGTTAATTTTCAGTGTGCATGTGGGTATGGAAAGAGTCGGGATCAGAGCGAGCATATTATGCAGGACAGCTTGTTCTACTGCTGTCTAGCAAATAGCTCCACGTGAGGGAATGGAATGGAAAGGAAAGAGTCAGGGCTCCAAAGGGTATGGGAAGGAACAAATAGAATGAGGCAGGGCTCCACTTTATTGAGCCTATGGCCTGACTGAGGCCCCAGTCCAGCAAAGCACTTAAGCACATGCTTAACCATAAGTAAGGGAATAGTCACATTTCAAATTGCACCGCCTACCCTCAGTTAAGTATGTGTATAGGTGCTTTGCTGAGTCAGGATCAAAGTGAGCATATTATCATAGAATATCAGGGTTGGAAGGGACTTCAGGAGGTCATCTAGTACAACCCCCTGCTCAAAGCAGTACCAATCCCTAACTAAATCCCCAAATCCCTAAATGGCCCCCTCAAGGATTGAACTCACAACCCTGGGTTTAGCAGGCCAATGCTCAAACCACTGAGCTATCCCTCCGCCCGAGGGAGGGATAGTATTATATATATTATATTATATAATATGATATTATATTAACCTATTACGTAGGTTAGCTTATTCCAGTGGCTCTCAACCAGGGGTTATGGGGCCATGAGCAATTTTTAGGGGGTCTGCCAAGCAGGGCCAGCATTAGACTTCCTGGGGCCCAGGGCAGAAAGCCGAAGCCCCACCGCATGGTGCTGAAGCCCAGGGCTTTGAGCCCTGCCACCCGGGGTAGAAGTCTGAGCAACTTAGCTTTGCAGGGCCCCCTGTGGCGTGGGGCCCTGGGCAACTGCCCTGCTTGATACCCCCCTAACGCCGGCCCTGGCTTTTATATGCAGAAAAACAGTTGTTGCCCAGGTGGGCTGTGGAGTTTTTATAGCATGAAAGAAAAAGGTTGAGAACCCTTGGCTTATTCTACCACTGTCTAGCAAATAGCTCCATGTGAGGGAATATACTTCGGGGATAAATAACACCTCTGTCACATAGTGCTTAATTGAAAGTCTAAAGCTGCTTCCTCATAAGAAAACTGCTGCAGAAGTGCAAAAAAAGAATAATAGAATATTTCCAGGAGTTGGAAATAACTATATTTAAACCCATACCTGTGAGAAAAAACTGTTCTGGACAGGCTGAGGACAGCTAGGTGCTGAAGGCATCCGCGGAGGAGAGCTCCACACACCTGAGAAATAAAGAGGAAGGTAGGTTTATATGCAATAAACCTGTTGGTAATACTAATGGTGGTTTTTTGAGTTACCAAAAGAAATAAGATTACCATGTCTAGTGCGCACTCCGTGTTGGATAAATCCAGATGAACAATGGCATTTGGCTGGGCCAAAAAATTATACAGGCTCTTCAAATGAGAAAAAGAAAAAAATATACGAATATTATGTTTTCTACATATTACACAGAATTATATTTATTTTAACTCTCCACAAACTTCAGACATTTATTTTTAATTGGACTCCAACAGTTTTGACTGAAGGTATTTTCTCTTAATGGATGTAATCTTCTAGCCCTCAAAAGTAAAACATTTCTTAAAATGACAGTAAAAGAATGCTGCCTGGATCACATTTACCACATAGTATTCTTGACATGCATAACTTGATTTATCTTGAGTAGCTGGCAATTTGCTACACATTTTTCAGAAAGCGTTAATTAATTTTAGTTCAAAATAGATTGGAATGCCATCCAGATTGCAACCATACTCCAAAAAGGCTAATCGGTTTTGAAAGTTTAAGTGAACCCTTTTTACTGCATTAGGCCAGCAGCTAATTTGTGTCTGAACCTTATAATTCTTTCTGACTAGACTTTATTAAAATACACATATTACCAGTGTCTTGTGGCAATTCAGAGATATTATAAGATAGGTCTGATAACATAATATTTTAATGAATGTCTATTATAATATTAAGGATATTTTACCTATGCTCTAACACCTGTTACATCAGACATTTATTTTTAATGTCTAGGAACCATACAAATTAGAGATAAGAAAAGTTGTCCCTCCTTTACAGAAGTGCTGATCCCCCCCCAACTCAAGAGAAGTCAAGATGAGTTAAGAGTGCTCAGGACTTTTGAAAAATCAAATCCCTACAATATTAGGTCATCTAGCCCCTCTGGTACCAATGCATGAATGTTCCCGACAGTAAATTTCCCAGTGCTTTGCTCAGGGCTAGTCTACACTGGCAACGCTAAAGCGCTGCCGTGGCAGCACTTTTAAGTGGCTTGTGTGGTGCTCTAGAAAAACCACCTCCACGAGGAGAGCGGCTCCCAGTGCTGGTGCACTGTCTACACTCTCACTTTACAACGCTGAAACTTGCTGTGCTCAGGGGAGTGTTTTTTCACACCCCTGAGAAAGTTGCAGTGCCGTAAATTGCCAGTGTAGACAAGCCCTCAGTTTAATTTTAAATTGCAAACAATGGAGCTTCCATCACTTCTGTTGGAAAACGATTCCATAATTTAACAGATCTGACTGTTAAAAGTATTTTCATGGTATTGCACCTAAGTTTTACATTGCTAAAATTAATGTAATTAATATACTAGATAAATCCTCTTGTGCCACTTAAAAATGTCTCTTCCTTCTGGTGTTTGCACCCTTTAAAATACTTGCAGCCAGCTATCACTTTCCCTTTAACCACTGTTTGTTTGAGCTAACACACTCATTTTATTATAAACTCTTTAAATATGTGGTTTTAAGTAAACCACTTTATTCTCATATTTAATTTTTGCTACTTCTCTAAAGGCTCTCATTTGTCAACATTCTTCTAGTTCTCCACCTGAGAGTTCTGCTCTCTTAAGCACAGGACGATGTGTTTTGTAAATGTGTCCAAGAATCTCTAACAGATACCAAGGAAAATGGGGGGTGGAAATCACATAAAGCCATAAGGCATTTTAATTTGTATACTAAAAGTGCGTGTCAAATGAAGATGGACTCTTGTAATGCTTATTTTGAATTCCTTAGTCTTCATTTCTTAGGTATCCCAGCCAGGACACTGAGGATGTGTGAATAAGTGAGACCGGGATGGATGTGATGATGAAAGTCTGAATAAAATATTATTTTGAGCCTGATGTCCTTCACCACACAGAAAATGAAACAGAGCTGGACCTCACTGGCGGTGACACAAAAGACCAGACCAATGGACTCTCACTAAGAGCTAATTCCTCAAAGGCTCACGAGTTTCCCCTATTCTGCCCCCAAGGCTGTTTGAGATTCAGCCCATTTATTGGCAAATAGCACCACTTGTCCAAACAGCCTTTTTATAAATGAATCTGTTGCTGCTTAGCAGATAAGCGTCTGTTTCTCAGGTTCCAAAACCCATGTACGATTATTTTCAGCTTTCAAACTAACCATAAGATAGACAGAAGATAGGTTTAATTAATTTGAATTTGGTTACTTTAATGTGGTATTCAGTGGACAATTTTTGTATGTCATAAGACCACCAGAGTTTGACACAATTGACAGTTTTCTGACTGATCAGTAGAATCTGAGGACTTGGATAGGAGCAAAGTGAAGTGAATTAGTTTAGCTGCGTGGGAAGTTTAAAACTTCATTTGCCTTTATACTAGTGTGACGCTGTATAGAAGTAAAGATGACCATGTGTACACTAAGGTATTACCACTGTTGCACAATTGTGATAGATGTTATGCAAAGTATGCCTTGTAAGGTATCATTGGAAAAGTTGTGATCTGTTGAACAATGTTATCCTGTTTATATGCATGTATTATCATTGTGTATGAAGTTATGAATCCTTGCTGTGTGTTTGTATCTCAAACGCCCACCAGACAGATTTACATCCAGACCAGCCAACCATGGTTGATGGGCCATTAAGGAGAATCAACCCTTCCAGTGAGCCCCTCCCAAGGATGCCTCAGAGAGCAGTAGCATGTAGACAATGGAGGCCCAGTGACTCAGCAGGACATGTAGAACATGTGATCCCTGACTCCATGCACATGGACTTGGGGGTAATCATCTTTCCCTTAAAAAGAACAGGAGTACTTGTGGCACTTTAGGGACTAACAAATTTATTTGAGCATAAGCTTTCGTGGGCTAAAGCCCACTTCTTCGGATCATTCCCTTGCCTCTTTCCTGCTCCACATTTCTGGATTATGATTTCTAACAAAGAAAAGCTTTGAACAATGGGCTGAGGACCCCAATATTTGGGATGAACCAGAGAGACTTACTGCAAGCTGGCAGATTTAACATCATTGCTATTATACTGATCTACAAACTCTGAAATGAATTGTAATGTATATGATTCATTTTAATCTCTTAATAACACTCTCTCTTTTATATTAATAAAACTTTAGTTTTTAGTTACTAACGGATTGGCTACCAGCGTGGGTTTGGGGTAAGAGCTGAAGTATATTTTGACCTGGGGTGCGTGTCTGGTTCTTTGGAACTAGAAGAACCAAATATATGTGATTTTTGGATTTAATAATCATTTATGACAGAAGTCTGGTTTTCTGGGTGGTACCTGAGGGGCTAGAAGTCCTGCAGGGGACTGTCCGTGGCTTCAAAACAACTAGTATAGTATTTTGGAAGCACACATTTGTTACTGGCTTGGTGAAATCTTACGATTCAATATGCCGCCATTTTGGGGTACATGCCCTGTTTTCTGGCAGTCTGACCTGAGACTGGCACTCTTAGCTGCGTCCCATACCAGGCAGCGTCACAACTGGAAGGCAATGTTATCACTGTGTCATTTTAATCACCATTAGAACTTGACTTAAACGAATAAAATATCACCCACAAAAAATCCCCCCTCTCCCCCCACTACATTAAAGATATACATTTTTTTCAGGAATCAGAAAAATAAGGAACACATACGGCGAGATCATCACCCCGCAGAGCATTCCCTGAGAGGTCAAGGTAGGTGAGAGTGTTAGCAATCAGCTGGTTGGCACTCAGTGACTGGGAAAGGCTATTCACCCCTGCAACAAAATGTCAATATTCAACTTAGTTGGGCTAAATGAAGAATTAGCATAAACCCTGTAATGACAAAGTTTCAGTGAACACACTGTCAACTATCAATGATCTCCTGCTATCAGTATTGTTATGATTTATTTTTCTCCTACAGGGCCCACTCTTGCAAGGTGCCAAACTCCCTCAACTCCCATTGACTTCACTAGGAATTCAGGGTTCCCTACCATCTAGCAGGACCAAGCCCTTAACCTGTATTACCAGATCCTTAGGAACAACCTTCTGATACATTTACTGTACCATGTACTTGGCTCAATTCTAATGGGATTTTACATTACTTAAAATATGGTTTGTGTGTAAACAAGGATGTTTAAATAAAAACATCTGCAGAAGGCAAATACATTAACAATTATAGTTCACTACTAATTCAAAGGCAGTTGACAAGACATAGAAGTTCAAACATTTAAATTATGTATTCACCGGTAATTTCAGAAAAATATTTGGCTAACTAAGATATCATGAAATATATATTTGAACACACTGATGTACAGTATTAAATCCTGTTCAGAACAAATAAATATTTTTGGTATTAAAATGAAAAATTGTGTGTCAAGAACCAACAAATCAGCATTCCCTTCAAAGGGGTTCCTAAGCTATTTAAAACAGAGATGAAGTGGACACCTTCAGCCAATGTAACTTGCATACTAAGCATGAGAGCTTATTACTGAACTCTTGAATCATTCTGGATGGCTGTAGGCTACTTCCTAATCAGTAAGTACCTGAGAAAATCCATTAGACACACAAGCATCATTGCCTCCTATAATAGAAGGGTGGCTTTTATTAAGCGCTTGGTCAAAGGAACAGAGAAGACAAGTGCTTTGAACTGCTGAGCAACAGTTGGCAGCTTTCCAGACAATTCATAAACACGGATTGGCAACAGATAGAAGTGCCCATCGTTCAGGTTAAAAATACGTTGCAATTCTTAATGCTAGAAAGGACATAGATTTGCCAAGGAACATACGATGAAGAAGCTGGCAAAATCAGGAGCCACAGATGTCTGGAAAACTAGAGCACCAAATCTAAACACCAAAATATTAAGATGAGATCAATATTAGTAGCATGATTGTTGGCTTCAAGGATTATTTTTGGAAATGGGCCTCTCTCTGAAAAGAGTTCGTATGTGTTACTATAGCTGCCAAGCTTTCAAATTTTCACTATTCACTCTGCAATTTTATTTTATTGTTAAAGTAAGTCTTTGTTACTAAACACATTCCACCTGCAAACTGCAGGGCTGAAACATTGTACATACAAAATGCAAGTTTTTTAAATCTTTAACAGATCTACCTGGCCACAATGGGTTCTAGCCATGTGCCCATTTTAATGAGTGATAACAGCAGTTGTTACTATACGGAAGTAGAAAAGAGCAGTGCAATGAGCATGTTCACACACACACACACACACACACCTTGCTAGATCCCATCCGAATAGCAACAGTAGCATATGATTCAACAGCAGCAAATGATATTGAGAACTAGGATAACGAAGCAGTGTTTGAGCTAGTTAACGTTGGGGAGCACTAGGGTAGAAAGTAGAATCTCTCCTCCTTTAGGGTTTTTGTTTGTTTTTAAATGAATCAGTCTTTCATTAACTACAAAGTCACTGGTTCTGATCTAAAGCCCAATGATATCAATGGGAGCCTTTTCATTGACTTCAGTGAGCTCTGGATCAGGTTCAAAAAGCTGAGATTTAATTGATCCGAGCACATGGAATTTTCTGTTTGACTCAAAGCTCCAAGTTGCTAAACCTCTTTTAGAGCTTCTCTTATTGTATACTGTGCTATTAACAGAGATCCTACTTCAGTCTGAATGAAGCCTATAATGTTGTTTCACTGCACTCAGACCTAACAACTGTTAGGAACTACGAAACACCATATTTAAAGAAAGATCATCTGGCAAGTTGCTGCCTGCAGTTCACTTGTCAATCTCACAAAGGAATCTCAAATGAAATGTATTTGTTAAGTAGTAAGGTAAAACAATAAGGAAGAAGTGAAAAGCACTGTAAGTGCTGCTTATTATCTCCCTAAAACAAAAGACTGGAAAAATCCACTTGTCCAGTTGCCCAGGACTGAATAGGAAACTTTCCCAAGTGAGTCCCAGCACTCACTTCAAAATTTAGGCTTTTATTTAAAAAACAGTTCTAACCTTTATGGTTTCAAAAATAACCTTCAAATGCAAAACAAGGTTAAATTAATGCAATGCTGTCTCTCTAAGTCAGGGGTCCCCAAAGCGGTGCCCGCAGACGCCATGGCGCCCGCCGGGGCGTCTAAGTGCGCCCACGTACTGGTCAGCGGACAAGCATCCGCCGAAATGCCGCCGACAAGCAGTGTCATCCAGAGGTGTTGCCACCAAAATGCCGCCTCTGGATAACACTGCTTATCAGCGGCGACAACGCCTATTGATGTTGCCCCTTGTCAGCGGCATTTCGGCGGATGCTCATCCGCCGCCACGGTCCTCCATGGCTCGTCGTCTGGCGCCCGCCAGACAAAAAAGGTTGGGAACCACTGATCTAAGTCAAGGGAGGGCAGACTGATAAAAGGAGCTGTAAAGACAGCCACAAAAGCAGTGAAGAGGAGACTGTGTGGAGATATAGAGAGGCAAGAAATTCACTGTTTTGAGGGCACCGCACATATAGATAAACTCTCATGAACAGCAAGATAAGTCATATCATTAGGCTAGGCTTTTTAGTCAGAATAGCATATTTTCAATAGGAATATTGAAGGGCTGCTCTAGCACAATATCCAGTGGTAAGGTCTTAGTCTCTGCAGATTTGAGAATCATTGCAGTGCAGTCTGCATTAGGATTCTTACTAGGTCATCATTAGGCATGAAAGATGAACTCTGCTTTTGTTTTAAGACCTTTTTAAAAATAAACCACAAAAATCCCTTTGATTTTGTTCATTGCTTCAATATTCTGTCCTTGCTGATTAGCATTTGGTTGAGCGGTTTTGACTAATCTGACAACTGTTCTTGAGATAGGTGGAAACAGATAGAATATCCCATTGACCTAAAAATCCAAAGCATTGGTAGATGCCATTGGACCAAATGATGGAACTTCAAGTGAGGAAGAGTACAGGAGGTGACTCAACATACTGGAAGCTGTGTGCACTTTTGCCAGGGTTGGATTTGGTCCAAAGACTTGAGTAAATATTCTGAGTTTTCTCCTATCCCAAGAATAAATATCAGGGTGATCAAAATTCTAAGAACGGAGTACTAACACAATGAATGGAACTAAAGTTTTATAAGGTTTTAAAGAACCAAAAAATCCAGCAATCATGCCCTGATGACTGGGCTATGGTAAGAATCATAATGCAAAACTAGGGTGACCAGATCACCAAAGACAAATATCGGGACGGTCCCGATAAAATCGGGACGTCTGGTCACCCTATGCCTAAGTCACTTTT